AGCCCGCATCTGGGAGCCCCAAAGGAAATCCTGCCGCAGAAGCTGGTGAGGAGGCCCTTCGGTCACTCAACTTTCTCAGATTAGACACACCCAAGGTGTGCCCCACTTCTAAACAACGCTCCATTAAAAACAACCCGGGACCTGTCCTGAAGGTCAGCAATGACCTAATTGACAAATCCAGTCCCAAATGAGGCCTGAGTTTCCCTCCTTCCTGCAAATGCTCCCTAGTTCTCTTGTGTTAGGACTTCTTCAGGTGAAAATGGCAGAAAGGACAACGTCACCAGGAACGAGGGGCCTCCCCTTCCAGAGCATTGCCCTGGAACTTCTCCCCCTCTGCCTCCTCACACATCGTCGTGCACACTCCTCCTTCCAGATGACCCACAGGGACCTCAATCCCAGGCCACACAAAGACGACCTAACCTCTACCTGTAGCCAAATCTGCTCCTGTTCTTTTGTCAGAACAATTTAAATAATGAAAAAATCCTTAGAGCCATGAGAGCTCTCCTGGAAAACTATACACTGAATATGTATGTTAACAGTTATGTCGCTCTTATTAATTTAGATGATGAACAAGTAAAATAACATACATAGTGTCTTTTATTAGATCTAAATCTTGATGCTTTCTAAAACACCTCCTGATTTCAAAGACACTACAATCCGGAAAAAAAGTGCATCTCAGAATCATGAAATACAGTAACACTGTGATAAAATTTCTAACTAACTTAAATAATCTGTAAGAAGTTAAGAAATTACAAACACAATAGCCAAAGTTAGAACTGTGATGAGATACATGCCAATTTGCTTTTGAATATTATGCCGAGAATCTATACACCCTCAACCACGGCCCTCGCTGCACCAGGGACTCTAGGCCACAGCACATCCCAGCACACGTCCCGGAGGGTCAGGACAGCTGGGAACCCTGTGGGTGACAAGAGAGCACCCAAGGGTCCCCATGACCGCTGACTTCAAAGAAAAAAGACCATCCCGTAAACTGACCCGCACATCCCGGGGACTCTCTCCTGCCCTCATCTGACTCACCATCTCGGCAGCCACCAGTGCCTCCTGTTCAAGTGCTCTCCTCTCTCGGCTGCAGGGAGAGCAGCCCATTACCCTGCTTCTCCTCCACCGGTCTCGCTCCCAGGGATCTCCCGCTCCCTGTGGAGTGGGACCGCGGCTGCCCTACTTGGACGCTCACCCGTTTGCCTGATGCCTCCGCCTGGACATCCCACAGGCATCTCAAGAGGAACACAGGTGAAGTACAGTTACAAACGCCCTCCCCTCCATCACCTCCTCCTCACCCATCTCCAGTCTGTTTCTCTCCCAACCCGGTAAATGGTCCCACCACCCACCAAGCCACCTTACGTGGTGGCCCCACACTTCCATTCCAATGGCAAACCGTGTGCGGTCTCCTGGACCCTCCCTTCTGTGATCAAGTGTGTCCTCTGGCGTAGACCACGCAGCGATCCCTGCCACCCAAAGCCCTCCCTGAGCTGGTCCCGCTTGGCCCCCAACATACATGCACAGCGCTCTGCCCTCACTTGAGAGCTGCCGTGCCTGCTGGCTGCCTGCTGGCTCCTACACAGCCAATGCTCTCCCAGTGCCCGGGGTCTCTGTGGCTTCTGCCACAGGTCCTTCTGACCTCGCCCTTAAATGTCCCTGCTGGGTCTGGCCTTCTCTCCAATGGCTCATCTAAGGAGGTCCCCACATCAACCTCAACCACTGCCTGCTACTCAGAGCTGCTGGGGCAGTTTGTGTTTGTGATTATTTGTTTTCAATCACCTCACCACCTCCCAAGCTTCCTGAAAGAGGAGGTGAGCCCTACATCACCCACCCACACCTGCATCCTGGCGTGCGGGCCAAGAGGACGTTTTCAACAAATGGGGTGAATTAAAGGGATGGCTACATCCTCAGCCTTTCTCAACAACTACCCAGGATGCTGGAATCCTCCAGAAAGTAGGAGAGGAGAGAAGCCAGAGCCCCAAAGCCAACGACTAAGTGGCTTAAAATCACTCCATGAAGAGCTCCAACCAGGGCACCAGGGCTCTGAGGGGAGTTGTCTGCTGCACCAAATCTAGCTGCGCTTTAAAAGCTGATTCCCCAAAGCATGACAAAACGCACAAATGAGATCAAAGCTTCCCATTTTTTTTTCATTAAAGACACCCAGTTTTTGCTACCTTCTTTCCCTCACTGTGCAAAACAACAAATAAATTAAAAAAAAAAAAAAAATCAATGGATTCCAAGGGACAGATACAATTTGGAAAATCCAAGGAAGAGCACAAGACATGCTGAAGGAAGCAACGGAGACAGACTAGAGAGGGGTTCCCGGTGACTTGGGGCTACAAAAACCACACCAGGCATTATTCAAAAGAGCTTTGGGCTTTGCAGACAGGAGCTACATAGCCTTGAACAAATCAAAGCCCCTCAGACCCTCAACTTCCCCATCTGTAAAATGGGACATGTCATAATGTCTTTTAAGAGGCTGGTGCAGAAATAAGGTCAAGCGCAGGGCATGAGGACACTCAGAAAGATGGCAGGCCAACTATGCGCACTTGCTGTCTCACGTCTCTGCCAGTCCCCTCTGGTTCCCATCCCAACAGCACCAAGGCTGTCACTGGCTCACGCTCCTTCACAGACACACGCTGGTCAAGTACGCCCCGTGCCCTCCAGGTCAATGTCTGAGGACAGCATTCAAAGCCTGCCCTCCAAAGGCACCTGCTGGAGATCTCCACAAAGTCCACACGTGCCCCGGTGGGAAAGTGGAGCTAGGCAAACAGTGCAGCTCCACAGACAATACTTCCTCAGTTTACCCTGACATTCTGATAAGGCTGAGGGGGTAGGGGTGAGAAAGAGTGTGTGGTCGGGACGGAGGGGGAGAGGGAGAGAAAAGGGCGGATGGGGAAAACTGGTTTTATGTGTCAGGTGTCACAGACACAGATGAAAGCTGGAGCGCTATTGCTACGGGCCCCCGACCACGTCCCAGAGCAGGCACTCTCAACTGGGGCGATGGTGCGAGGGACAAAGGGCTGTGAGCAGACGCTGGGTGAGGGGCACAGTACACAGGATAGACCTCCCAACAGGGAAGGGTCCAGCCCCAAACGTCCCCGGGGCCAAGGGGGAGAGAAGCGCTGTCCCAGACCAAAGGGCTATCGCCATGAGCCCCGGCCCAGGGGAAGGGAACCAGAAGCCTCTTTACGCTCCAGAACGAACCTGCCCCTGACGTGCACACCACAACCAGGAATTCGGTCACTGGAAGCAGGGGCAGGCAGGCAGGTAGCACGAGGCAAGAGGACTCTGCCACCAAGCTGGAGGCGAAGGAGACGCTGGGGAGGGTTTGGAAAGAGAAGAAAGGACGTTAGCCGGGGTTTCCCAGACCACAAACGGGGAACGCCTATACAAAAGCACACACTCTCACTCCACGGCCAGGCGTAGGTGACAGTCGCCAGCACCGGCGGCCACACAAGGAGTCTGGAAAAGGAAGAGCAGGAAAGACCAGGGAGAGTGTGGGGGCCGGGTCCCGGCTCGCTGCCCTGGAGCTTGGAGGGGTCGACCCAGGGAGCAGCAGGGGTAGTTTCGGGTCCTGGATATGCACAGCTGAGAACAGCACGGTCCTGACAACAAAATGTCACTGCAAGGAGAGCAGCAGATCCAGGGAGATTACAGGGAGATGATCAGAAGAAATAAAGTAGTATAAACTTTAGTTTGAGAACAGATTTTATTACTTGTACCCTCCTTTCCTTAAATTTTTTTTTTAATGTTTATTTTTGAGAGACCGAGTATGAGTGGGGGTGGGGCAGAGAGAGAGGGAGACACAGAACCCAAAGCAGGCTCCAGGCTCTGTCAGCACAGAACCCATCGCGGGGCTCCAACTCACACTGCGAGATCATGATCTGAGCCGAAGTGGGACGCCCAACAGACTGAGCCACCCAGGCGCCCCCCGCCTTTTTTTTTTTTTAAAGAACAAAGAATGTAACAGAGGTAACACTTGATCAGGACACCTCGCTCTTACCACTCCGCCCCTGTTTCCGACAACCTCACAACTTTCAGGACTCTAAGCGATGTCCACTTCTTAGTTTTGACAACTGCACCAAGGTTACAGAAGATGCTAACTAACATCAGGAGAAGCCAGGCAACAGATACACAGGAATTCTCTGTGGTATCTTCACAGCAGACATTTAAGTAAAAAGTTTTTAAAAATCGAAAGACAAACCAAACGTTTTACTTTTCTGAATGTAATCCGCTGGCTCTCCTCTGAGCCTTTCTAAACCACCACGGCACAACTACATGGAAGGCAAGCTGGGAAGGGCGGGTTCCCAGCAACAAGCCTGGGGAAGGAGACAGCGGGCTGTTCCCGGCCTTGACTGACCACCAAACGCACACCAGATACTCAGCCACTAAGTGTGCACTGCACGGTGAAGTCTGACGAAAGAACACACTTCCCCCTTAGCGTTTGGAATTTTAAAGCATTCCATTTTGTGCTGCAAAAGGAGCTATTCTCCCATTTCTATCTTGGTGAGTTAGGCTGAGAGGCTCCAAGGCTAGTTCCTATCTCATAGGTGGGAAATCTCAAGAAGGAACACGTGTGAAACCACCTATCAAGTTGGACACGATACCCTTCTCGCACAAACACCATATAGTCCTCTGGACATAAATGCCCTTCGTCTGTAACACAAATCGATGGGCTTCTCTGACAGCCTCAACCACCAAGAGGAAGCGTGAGAAAATCCCAGCTCTCCTGCTCCACTACCTGTCATTCGCAGGTGCGAACCTCCTCCTTGCACCCGGGAGCCGAGGAGGACTGGCTAAACCATCTCTACCTAGCCTCTGCTTGCCAGCTCATCGAAGGAAACATAAACTCACTGAGAGGGTGCTCCTCATGAGAAATACATTTTCCTATCACCCATGACATGTGTCCGGTTGCAGACCTTCACTGTTAGCATGACACACCCCACACACCAGAGCACCCACTGGAGACCACGGCCAGAGAGCCAAGGGCAACTTACCATGTTTGGCACGTTGGTGACGGAAGGATTCTTGATGTCTGTAGGGAAGGGAGGCAAACTATTGACCATGCTCTGTTTGCTGGATAACTGGGGGTTCACTCCAGGGGCTCCCATTTGCTGCCCTCCAGTTTGACTAAAGGGTTGTCCAAATGGACTTGTGTTACCAGCCATTCCCATCTGAAACAAAAAGAGGCAACATCAGCTGTCACGACACGGTCACATACAAAAGGAAGGGCCCGAGAAATGCTCCCTTTGACCCAAGAAAGCAAAAATCACTACTTCTCGTGAAACCCTCATTTCGATTATAAATTAAAGGCTCATTCTCAAGGTTCATTCTGCATGACGAACAGCGTGACTTGCTCAAGTGGCTGCACACCGAAGGCGGAAGACGAAGGAGCTGCCGGCAACAGTTGTCTGCCATCCTCTCCGGCATCAAAACGAGAACTGCTGTTTCCACCCTCCCCCACGCCCCGCCCCCCGACAGGGGCAGCAACACAGTGAGAAAATCATCCGGAAGACAAAAGCTTCCAGAATCACTGACAAAGGGGAGCTCCTTGTGTTTAATACTAGCCCACTTCTTTCAGGTTTCCCCCATCAGTTTTAAACTCCATTTCCATTCATTCAAAACACACATGAGACACGCTGACAAAGGAACAATGTAATGTCTGGGATTCACTTTAGTACTCCCATGAGGCAAGGGGTAGAGGCAAGAAGGGGGCCTAGATGAGGAACGACTGGCCACATGTTGCTTCCTCCTAGCCAGGTGACACGCGTGTGTGTGTGGAGGGGTGGAGGTTGTCACATTACCTTCTCTAAGATCACACGTCCGAATGTTCCATAAAGAAATTCTTCTTTTAAATTAGTGAAACAAAGTAAAATATACAGTAGCTGAAGGCAAGAACAGGAAGGAAGAGCCCCCACCTACGCCCCCCTCCAGCTCCAGCCGATACAGGAGTGAGCTCGGGAACCCCACCTGCCCTCCGGAGGAACGGAGACTGGCTTTTCTCGCCTGCCTTGCTTTTCTGCACAGTTCTAGCATTCTACCTATTGCCTGGTGCTCGCTCTACTTTTCTGGTATCTTGGTGCGTTTGATGTTTGGAAACTGGGAGGAAGGGGTCCCAAGGGAAGACCTCCTAGGGATCAATCAAGAAACTGAATCGGTTCTCCCCAGCAGCCCCACACCGGGATGGCTGCCTCTGTCTGGGTAACTTACACTCGCTCCTCCTACGGACCCCGATCTCACTTGCAAGGTGAGTGTCCTGAACAGGAAGAATTACATGTTATCTTTCAGCTCTAAGATTTTAGGTTGCAGACAAATCAATGCTTAACACAGCTGACCCTTTCAGCTGAAATGTCCACATAAAAACAGAAATAAAGACAAACCAGCAGAACCAAGAAGATCTCGCTCCTGAGCACTTTCGAGTGCCTTTTTCAAAGCGAACATATTCCAGTTGCCACTTTTGCCCTGTTTGCTTTCCTTGAATAAATGGAAACAAATTTAAACTCAACTGAACTTCAAATTTAACTTGAGTAACTGAAAAACAAATTCTTCACAAAGCCCAGTAACGAGGCTCAACATTGAGTTCAGAGGATTTAAGCAAAGAGAGTACATGGTAGCTCAGGAAACTTAATATGTTCTGAACCAGGTTCCTTCAGTTGTCATCTGAAACTCTGAAGAACTGAAACAAGAATTTGTATTTTCAGAAAGCTTTACACAAAATTAACTCATGTAGTAATTATTGCTTAGAATTTGTTTTACTGCATAAAAATCTACTGCGAACTCGCCCTCACGGTCAGCAGTACTTCCTGATGGCCTGCTGCAAGCCAGGCCCGGTTCAGAGCACACGCAGAGACAGCATTTTCCCACCAGTTACGGAGTGCACTCTTCAAACCCACCAATGTGACAAACGAGAAAACCAATGCTGTCGTGGAAGCTTCTAGCATCAGCAAACCGAAGTGGGCAGCAGTGAGAGGGTGGGAAGGAGAAGTAACTGTCCCCCTACTTGCACCAACCGTCCAAGGTCAGAGCGAAGTAAACACCAAGAGGCCGTTGAGCTCCCAAAGGGCTTCTGTGAGTCTCAAAGTTCACCCCACCTGGTTTGAAAAACCTATTTCTATGATCATCTTGCCAGGGCGAAAGGGCAGTGAGTAGGTGGTCTGCTTGTTTGGGTACTAGCTCTGGGCAGAGCACTTTCTAACTGGCTGAACCAAGAGTTTCAGAGCGTGTAACGCATTCTGACAGATTTTACCAGGGAATTCTTGTTAATTTTTCTTCTTAACCATCCAATAATGAAGGAAACTGTCTCAATGTGGTTTTGATCCTCACGGGGCAAGAAGCAAGGTAAAGTCAAAGTCAAAGATCACAGACAGCAGGTAAGGAATGTCCAGTTCACCGGGGACCATCCTTAGCCTGTGACAACAAACACAACTCCAGAGATCAAGCACAGTGAGCCCAGGCTCTAAGGCAGAGCTCCACCCCCTCGGTCCAGAGCCAGCCCCGGGCTGACCCTCCCCAGTCAGAGCTAACAGGGGGACCAAAGGACAGTCTTACAAAGGGCCGTACCTCCCATCTCCCCCGTCCTGGACCGTCTCAACATAACCTGGCAGAACTAACAGCTGCTCTCCAGTCCTAGCCTACAGCTTGGGGTCAAAACTATTTGCTTCTAGAGACTTGCAGATTTCTGAATTTCTGTTCCATACTTACTCTCCTTTGACCAGACTGAATATATGTGGTCCCGAATCTAGGTTTACACACATTTTTAGCATCAAGGCATAAAACAAAGTACTAAAATCAAAAGGTCTAATTCCAATTAATAAACATCTTCATATTTGTTCTAATTTCCCAACAGTTATTTGGTAACAACTTAGTAAACCGGGCTCTATTTGCAACGGAAGTTTATCCAGATCTGGTTTAAGGCTGCTAGAGAACTAGCATGTAATCTTTTCAATAAAATTCAGAAGGCAGAACAGCAGCACTAGGAAACTGTTCAACTGATGGTGAACGAATGAATAAATTAAAGCCTGTGGAATTGATGTCTACGCTCTGCCTCACTTGGCAACAGCTCACACATGGTGTTAGCTCAACTCTTTTGGAGCACCTTAAGCACCGAGTTCAATTTCAGAAAACACAAAAAATTGACAAGGAAGTATGGGAAGCTCTCCCATAAAGAAATCTCAATTAAATAGTGAAGGTCTACCATGTCTTCCCGTGAAAAACCACTCTTGTGACCAGGAGTGTCACTCATGTGAAAACCTGCTCCCTCCGTTGTCTGAGGCTCTCACCTCACGATTGAAGGGGACAGGAGAATGGCAGTCCCTGTACTCAGAAAAGCGCAAACAAGATTAGGAGGAGGAAAAGTCACTGGTGCCAGACCCTGAGGCTTACCCACACCCTACCGCACGGGGATGCGGATTATGTATTAGCTGAACCAGGGCTTTACAGCATGACATCCAAAGAGGAAATCTCTCTTCAGAGTTTAGCTCAAGGAACCTGAACGATACCTACACATGCCTTTACTACTGAAACAGTGTCTGAAGCAAATTGTGGTCACCCTGCCCGGCCCATCAATCAGAAACTGCTGAAGTCCTGAGCCGTCTGGCAAGTAGGTGAGTGACAGCCATCTACAGGAGATGGGCAGGTAGACGACGCTTCTCTTTACACTCTGACAGCCGCGTACTACAGATACGGCGTGGAAAGTACAAAACGCTACGCGACTCTATGGCATTCTTTGCCATAAATCTGTCTTTGGCACAAAACCAGGATAAAACTTGCCTTCCTGGAACACATCTCCTCTGTGTGCTTGGGCCCTGGCACATAGTGAGTGTTTAACCAGCACCTGGGGGAAGGAACCAAATAAACGAACACTCTAGGAGATCACTGCGACACATGGCTCAGAAAGAAATCCCAACGTCAGCCCTGAGGGCAGATGCGATCACAGAACAGTGGACCAGCCACCGTAGCCAGGCCCAAATGATGTCACCACTGGCTGGAAGGGTACTTCCCTTCCAGAAGACAGCCCCTTCTATCTTCTAACACTCGTCATGAGGACCTGAGCTCCTGGCTGGAGCAGACAGGCAGCCTGCCGGCCATGCGAGGAGACTATGCCCCCAGGAGCCGGTTTCACGGGAGGATGATATAGCTCTGTGTCACAGCACAGCATCCACAGGAGCCAGGCCTGCTGTAAAACGGGCCCTCTACGCTACATCCACTGGGCCAGCAAACCCTTGGCTTTGGTCAGGGCTCCAGGCATGCGCCTCCCAAGGGCTTCCCAGTGATGCAAAGAAATAATGATCTATCAGCCTAAGAGGTCACCACTGGCTGCAAACAGCCTCCTCTGCTGACCTCTGCATGTGGGACAAATATTTTCACTTTCTACTTGTGTCATGATATGAAAACTATCAACATATATTAATTAAAAAACAAGCTCGGCGGGGGGGAGGGGGCGCGCCTCGGTGGCCCAGTCAGTTAAGTGTCTGACTCTTGATTTCGGCTCAGGTCATGATCTCACAGTTTGCAGGATGGAACCCCGTGACAACAGAGCCTGCTTTAGGTTCTCTCAGTTCCTCTCTCTCTCTGTCCCTCCCCCAGAGGTGCTCGCTCTCTCTCAAAATAAATAAACATTAAAAAAAAAAAAAAAAAGCTCTGGGCTCCCAAAAAAACAGCAAGACTCTCTCCACTCCACTAACCCTGGGAACATCTTTACTACTCATGTAACTCACCTAATCAAATAAGGTAGTACACTGAAAACCAAAGAACTAACTAGGGGAGTTTAAATAAAAAAAACTCCTAACTGTAGAAATTTCTTCCCCAAATAGGTTTCTACAATAGTAGTGACTCCTTGCTCCTTGATAGGAAAGAGGGACAGAGAAGCGCTTTCCACTTAGGGCCCCCCCCAGGCTGCACCTCCTCCCCCAACAGCAGCAGCCCAACCCCCAGGTGACAGGGCGGTGGGAACAGGGGCTAACCTCAGTAGTCCATGGCAAGGAGGGGGGCTGGGGCAGTCATGCCCTTAGAAATTTTGTGATATGCATTTTGGGGAGAAAAGGTCCATTATAAGATTCCCAAAGGAGGGGGGTGTCTTAAGATCCCCTATAGGTTAAGGATGCCTGCCCTAGGGAAGCCAACTCCCCACTGCCTGTCCCTCTCAAGTCTCAGGGGAGGGCAAGCTCTCCCCACA